ACTAAAAGCTGCTAAATGCTGCTAAATGCTGCTAAATGCTATTAAATGCTGCTAAACGCTACTAAATGCTGCTAAATGCTGCTAAACGCTACTAAATCCTGCTAAATGCTACTAAATGCTGATAACAGCTTTGTTTTTCTTTTTCCTTTACATGTGCTGTAAAAAACACGAATAAAATGCTAACTCTCCTAAATGCTGCTGAAATGCGACTAAAAAACGCGATTACCAGCATGTTGTATTCTGCATTTTGTATCCGGCGTGTAAATAAAGCTCAGCGCGGGTTCACATACATGTGGTGCGGGATATCACGTGTGTTTTGGAGTCGTACATTCTGTATGGTTCTATTCGCACCAGAAAACACGCAGGACACTTTTTTCGGGTCTGCACTAGAATGAGATCACACGGGTATTCGCCCCTCTGCCATCCGATTCTGCACATGGCGCCACGTTTTGTGGACTGATTTCGGGGTGTTGTTAACATACACACTCGCAGCGGCTTGCATGAACGGGGGGTGATTGTGATGACAATCTCCATGCAGACCCCTGATGGCTGATACTACACACTCCATGTGGCTGTGGGCCGTTCTGTAATGTTGGGGCATTGCGACTTTATTACCCTGAAAGTAGCGATTTCCTCCGCCGCCAGCGATCCGATTTGGAGAAAATGCTGTGTCTTCTCATATCTCTCATTCTCTGGTGGCGGTATGCGGGGAATCCCGGCCTGGCTTTGTGTTGGTGAAGTCCATGGTCTCCATGGTGGTATGCGGGGAATCCCAGCCTGGCTTTGTATTGGTGAAGTCCATGATCTCCGTGGCGGTATGCGGGGAATTCCCGGCCTGGCTTTGTGTTGGTGAAGTCCATGGTCTCCGTGGTGGTATGCGGGGAATCCCGGCCTGGCTTTGTGTTGGTGAAGTCCATGGTCTCTGGTGGTGGTATGCGGGGAATCCCGGCCTGGCTTTGTGTTGGTGAAGTCCATGGTCTCCGTGGCGGTATGCGGGGAATCCCGGCCTGGCTTTGTGTTGGTGAAGTCCATGGTCCTCTGGTGGTATGCGGGGTAATCCCGGCCTGGCTTTGTGTTGGTGAAGTCCATGGTCTCCGTGGCGGTATGCGGGGAATCCCGGCCTGGCTTTGTGTTGGTGAAGTCCATGGTCTCCGTGGCGGTATGCGGGGAATCCCGGCCTGGCTTTGTGTTGGTGAAGTCCATGGTCTCCGTGGTGGTATGCGGGGAATCCCGGCCTGGCTTTGTGTTGGTGAAGTCCATGGTCTCCGTGGCGGTATGCGGGGAATCCCGGCCTGGCTTTGTGTTGGTGAAGTCCATGGTCTCGTGGCATGGTCGGGAATCCGCCTGGCGGTCCATGGTCTCCGTGCGGTATGCGGGGAATCCCGGCCTGGCTTTGTGTTGGTGAAGTCCATGGTCTCCGTGGCGGTATGCGGGGAATCCCGCCTGGCTTTGTGTTGGTGAAGTCCATGGTCTCTGGTGGTGGGTATGCGGGGAATCCCAGCCTGCTTTGTGTTGGTGAAGTCCCCAGGTCTCCGTGGCGGTAGTCCATGTCCCTCCGAGGTAATGCGGGGAATCCCAGCCTGGCTTTTGTGTTGGTGGTGAAGTCCATGGTCTCCGTGGCGGTATGCCGGGAATCCCGCCTGGCTTTGTGTTGGTGAAGTCCATGGTCTCTGGTGGTGGTATGGCGGGGAAATCCCAGCCTGGCTTCTGTGTTGGTGTGGTCCATGGTCTCCGTGTAAGGGAATCCCGGCCTGGCTTTGTGTTGGTGAAGTCCCATGGTCTCTGGTGGTGGTATGTGGGGAATCCCGGCCTGGCTTTGTGTTGGTGAAGTCCATGGTCTCTGGTGGGTATGTGTGGGAGGAATCTCCGGCTGTGCGTTTGTGTAGGTGAAGTCCCATGGTCTCTGGTGGCGGTATGCGGGGAATCGCCGGCCTGGCTTGTGTTGGTGAAGTCCATGGTCTCTGGTGGCGGTATGCGGGGAATCCCGGCCTGGCTTTGTGTTGGTGAAGTTCCATGGTCTCCCGTGGTGGTATGCGGGGAATCTCGGCCTGGCTTTGTGTTGGTGTAAGTCCATGGTCTCCGCGGGGAGATGATGACGCACCAATTCCTAAACGTTTCCTCCACCAAGACCAGAAGAAGAAGGAAGCAGAAAATCTTCCTCGGCTCTGCTGCTGGTTTCCCAGTGGAGGCAGAAAACTACAAATAGATACTCAGAGATGATATTTGTTCTCCACCATCTGTGTGCCAAGTGCCTCGGAGGTCGGACCACAGCCACATGATGGAGTGTGTGTAGTATATCGGCCACCAGGGGTCTAGCATGAATGATTGTCAGTTGTCTGTTGTCTGGTTGTCCGGGAGACACAGAAAAATACTCCGGGGCCCAGAGAGAGAATGGAGGGGAGAGAAATCACGGAGAGGAAGAAAATCCTTCCTGATATAGATATAGAATAGAAGAGATGTAGTGACCACACAGAACCTCAGAGGGCGACAACGCTCCCCCCACAGAAACACACCCCAATATATCGCCCTATAATATCCAATGTGGAGAATTGCCAGAATATTTCATTTATATATACTCTGCTATTGCCCCGCCCCCATATATACTCCATATTATATCCCCGCCCCCAATATATACTCTGTATTTACCCCGCCCCCAAATATATATACTCTGTATTACCCCAATTATTGCCCCCCGCCCCCCATATACTCTATATTCCCCCAAGCATTGTCCCCACCCCCCATATACTCTATATTACCCCAAGTATTGTCACCCCCATACCCCCGCCCCCCCCATATACTCTGTATTCCCCCCCAAGTATTGTCCCCACCCCCCCCATATACTCTATATTACCCCAAGTATTGTCCTCCCCGCCCCCCCATATACTCTATATTACCCCAAGTATTGTCCCCGCGCGCCCCCCATTATACTCTATATTACCCCCCCGCCCCCCATATACTCTATATTACCCCAAGTATTGTCCCCACCCCCCCGTATATACACTATATTACCCCGCCCCCCATATACTCTATATTTGCCCCGCCCCCCAATATATACTCTGTATTACCCCGCCCCCCCATATACTCTCTATATTACCCCAAGTATTGTCCCCGCCCCCCCCCATATACTCTATATTACCCCAAGTATTGTCCCCGCCCCCCATATACTCTGTATTACCCCAAGTATTGTCCCCGCCCCCCGTATATACACTATATTGCCCCGCCCCCCATATACTCTATATTACCCCGCCCCCCATATACTCTATATTGCCCCCCGCCCCCCATATACTCTATATTACCAACTACCCCGCCCCCCCCATATACACTATATTCCCCCAAGTATTGTCCCCCGGCCCCCCCATATACTCTATATTACACCCCGCCCCCCCCATATACTCTGTATTTCCCCAAGTATTGTCCCCGCCCCCCGTATATACACTGTATTGCCCCGCCCCCCATATACTCTGTATATTCCCCCAAGTATTGTCCCCACCCCCCCCGTATATACACTATATTACCCCCGCCCCCCCATAATACTCTGTATTCCCTCCCCCCAAGTATTGTCCCCACCCACCCCCCCGTATATACACTACATTGCCCCAAGTATTGGGCCACCTCCTTGCCTTTCCACACACATGACCTTTAATGGCCCCCCAGTCTTAGTCCGTAGGCTTCAATATTGAGTTGGCCCCGCCCTTGCGCGATCCCACACACAGACCTTTAATGGCCCCCCAGTCTTAGTCCGTAGGGTTCAATATTGAGTTGGCCCCGCCCTTTGCAGCTATAACAGCTTCAACTCTTCTGGGAAGGCCGTCCACAAGGTTTAGGAGGGTGTCTATGGGAAGGTTGGACCATTCTTTCCAGAAGCACATTTGTCAGGTCAGGCACTGATGTCGGGGGAGGGGCACTGATGTCGGGGGAGGAGGCCTGGCTCGCAGTCTCCTCTCTAATTCATCCCAAAGGTGTTTCTATGGGGGTTGAGGTCAGACTCTGTGCAGGACAGTCAAGTTCCTCCACCCCAAACTGGCTCCTCCATGTCTTTATGGACCTTGCTTTGTGCACTGGTGGGCACCATGTTGGAACAGGAAGGGGCCATCCCCAAACTCCTCCCCACAAAGTTGGGAGCATGAAATTGTCCAGAATGTCACCTTCACTGGAACTAGCAGTTCCCTTCACTGGAACTAGGGGGCCAAGCCCAACCCCTGTAAAACACCCCCACACCATAATCCCCTCTCCACCAAACTTTACACTTGGCACAATGCAGTCAGACAAGTACCGTTCTCCTGGCCACCGCCAAACCCAGACACATCCATCGGATTGCCAGACAGAGAAGCGTGATTGGTCACTCCAGAGAACACGCCTTCCCTGCTCTAATAGTCCAGTGGCGGCGTGCTTTATACAACCACGGCATCCGACGCTTTGCATTGCACTTGGTGATGGAAGGCTTGGATGCAGCTGCTCGGGCCATGGAAACCCATTCCATGAAGCTCTCTACGCACTGTTGTTGGGCTCATCTGAAGGCCACACCAAGTTTGGAGGTCTTTAGCTATTGACTCTGCAGACAGTTTGGCGACTTCTGCGCACTGTGCGCTTCAGCATGCGCTGACCCCGCCCTGTCATGTGACGTGTGGCCTACCACTTGGTGGCTGAGTGGCTGTTGTTTCCAGTGGCTTCCACTTTGTTATAATCCCACTAACAGTTGAGCGTGGAATATTTAGTAGCCAGGAAATGTCACGGATGGACTTATTGCCCAGGTGGCCACCTATCACGGGACCACGCTTGGAGTCACTGAGCTCCTGAGAGCGACCCATTCTTTCACCAATGTTTGTAGAAGCCGTCTGCATGCCTAGGGGCTTGATTGTACACACCTGTGTCCATGGGGGGGATTGGAACACCTGAATCACATGATATGGAGGGGATTGGAACACCTGAATCACATCATATGGAGGGCATTGGAACACCTGAATCCAAGGATTTGGAGGGGATTGGAACACCTGAATCACATGATTGGGAGGGATTGGAACACCTGAATCCCATGATATGGAGGGATTGGAACACCTGAATCCAAGGATTTGGAGGGGATTGGAACACCTGAATCCCATGATATGGAGGGGATTGGAACACCTGAATCCCATGATGTGGAGGGGATTGAAACACCCGAACACATCCAAGGATGTGGAGGGGATTGGAACACCTGAATCACATGATATGGAGGGGATTGGAACACCTGAATCCAAGGATTTGGAGGGGATTGGAACATCTGAATCCCATGATATGGAGGGGATTGGAACACCTGAATCCAAGGATTTGGAGGGGATTGGAACACCTGAATCACATGATTGGAGGGGATTGGAACACCTGAATCCCATGATATGGAGGGGATTGGAACACCTGAATCACATGATTGGAGGGGATTGAAACACCTGAATCACATGATATGGAGGGGGTTGGAACACCTGAATCACATGATTTGGAGGGGATTGGAACACCTGAATCACATGATATGGAGGGGATTGGAACACCTGAATCCAAGAATTTGGAGGGGATTGGAACACCTGAATCCCATGATATGGAGGGGATTGGAACACCTGAATCCATGATATGGAGGGATTGAAACACCTGAATCCAAGAATTTGGAGGGGATTGGAACACCTGAATCACATGATATGGAGGGGATTGAAACACCTGAATCCAAGGATTATGGAGGGGATTGGAAACACCTGAATCCAAGGATTTGGAGGGGATTGGAACACCTGAATCCCATGATATGGAGGGGATTGGAACACCTGAATCCAATGATTTGGAGGGGATTGGAACACCTGAATCCCATGATATGGAGGGGGATTGAAACACCTGAATCCAAGGATTTGGAGGGGATTGGAACACCTGAATCACATGATATGGAGGGGATTGGAACACCTGAATCACATGATATGGAGGGGATTGGAACACCTGAATCCAGGATTTGGAGGGGATTGGAACATCTGAATCCCATGATATGGAGGGGATTGGAACACCTGAATCAAAGGATTTGGAGGGGATTGGAACACCCTGAATCCCATGATATGGAGGGGATTGGAACACCTGAATCCAAGGATTTGGAGGGGATTGGAACACCTGAATCACATGATTGGAGGGGATTGGAACACCTGAATCCCATGATATGGAGGGGATTGGAACACCTGAATCACATGATTGGAGGGGATTGGAACACCTGAATCACATGATATGGAGGGGATTGGAACACCTGAATCACATGATATGGAGGGGATTGGAACACCTGAATCACATGATATGGAGGGGATTGGAACACCTGAAATCACATGATATGGAGGGGATTGGAACACCTGAATCCCATGATATGGAGGGGATTGGAACACCTGAATCCCATGATATGAGAGGGGATTGGAACACCGGAATCACATGATATGGAGGAAATTGGAACACCTGAATCCCATGATATGGAGGGGATTGGAACACCTGAATCCCATGATATGGAGGGGATTGGAACACCTGAATCACATGATTGGAGGGGATTGGAACACCTGAATCCCATGATATGGAGGGGATTGGAACACCTGAATCCCATGATATGGAGGGGATTGGAACACCTGAATCACATGATATGGAGGGGATTGGAACACCTGAATCCAATGATTTGGAGGGGATTGGAACACCTGAATCCCACGATATGGAGGGGATTGGAACACCTGAATCGCATGATATGGAGGGGATTGGAACACCTGAATCCCATGATATGGAGGGGATTGGAACACCTGAATCGCATGATATGGAGGGGATTGGAACACCTGAATCGCATGATATGGAGGGGATTGGAACACCTGAATCCATGATATGGAGGGGATTGGAACACCTGAATCCCATGATATGGAGGGGATTGGAACACCTGAATCCCATGATATGGAGGGGATTGGAACACACCTGAATCACATGATATGGAGGGGATTGGAACACCTGAATCCCATGATATGGAGGGGATTGGAACACCTGAATCCCATGATATGGAGGGGATTGGAACACCTGAATCACATGATTGGAGGGGATTGGAACACCTGAATCCCATGATATGGAGGGGATTGGAACACCTGAATCCCATGATATGGAGGGGATTGGAACACCTGAATCCCATGATTGGAGGGGATTGGAACACCTGAATCCCATGATATGGAGGGGATTGGAACACCTGAATCACATGATATGGAGGGGATTGGAACACGTCTGAATCCACATGATATGGAGGGGATTGGAACACCTGAATCCCATGATATGGAGGGGATTGGAACACTGAATCACAGATTTGGATAGGGATTGGAACACCTGAATCATCCCATGATATGGAGGGGATTGGAACACTGAATCACATGATTGGAGGGGGATCTTGGAACACCTGAATCACATGTATATGGAGGGGATTGGAACGCCTGACAATCCCATGATATGGAGGGGGATTGGAACACCTGAATCCCACAGATGGAGGGGATTGGAAACACGTGAATCCAAGGATTTGGAGGGTAAAGATTGGAAAACCTGAATCCCATGATATGGAAGGGGATTGGAACACCTGAATCCCATGATATGGAGGGGATTGGAAACACGTGAATCCAGGATTCTGGAGGGGATTGGAACACCTGAATCCCACCACACGCCATGGAGGGAGGATTGGAAAATGAATCCAAGATGACATTTGGAGGGGATTGGAACACCTGAATCCCATGACATGGAGTCTGGATTGGAACACCTGAAATCACACGGTGATATGGAGGGTATTGGAACACCTGAATCCCATGACATATGGAGGGGATTGGAACACCTTGAACCCCCATGATATGGAGGGGTTTTGGAACACCTGAATCACATGATATGGAGGGGATTGGAACACCTGAATCCATGATATGGAGGGGATTGGAACACCTGAATCCCAATGATATGGATGGGGGATTGGAACACTGAATCCACTCTGAAAGGATTTGGAGGGGATTGGAAACACCTGAATCCCATGATAATGGAGGGGATCAGCTCCAGCCAGACCAGGAATGACTTTGTGAACATCCAAGATTGGAGCATCTTACTGATTGGTTGAATACCAAAGGCAAGAGAATATTGGAGGGGATTGGAAACACCTGGATGTCCCAATGGCATATGGAGGGGATTGGAACACGTGAATCCAGGAGCTTTGGAGGGGATTGGATACAGCTGAATCGCACATGATATGGAGGGGATTGGAACACCTGAAGGCACATGATATGGTCCCAGGGGACAAGAGAACACCTGAATCTCATGATATGGAGGGGTGGCTACCTGAAGCATGAAGAGGGGATTGGAACACCTGAATCCCCATGATATTGAGGAACATGAGAACAAAATTCCATGTCAATGTGAGGGGACTGTTGAAGCCCAGTGAATAAGACGCAGAATGGAGGGGATGCTGAACACCTGATGCCCAGAATATGGAAGCGGCGATTGGAACACCCTTGCTGCCCAGGAATGAGAGGGGATTGTCGACCTGGGAACATGAAGTTTCAGGGCCATGTGGACAAAACCTGAAACAGTTGTGGGATAGTGTTCTCCGTGAGAACTCCATGACTAATGGGCGTGCCAGAACCCCCTTGCTGTCATCCAAAGATAAGAACTGTTTCGACTGGTATGCCAAAAGCCATGGACAAACCACATAAAGTTGTGGTGATAGTGTTATGTTATGGACTGGATGAAACAAAATTAGAACTGTTTTGAACCCATGGATCAACGCTATGTTATGGAGGAGGAAGAACAGGCCTTGATGAAAAGAACACCTTGCCTACTGTGAAGCATGGTGGAGGGTCAATCATGCTTTGGGGCTGTTTTGCTTCTGCAGGTACAGGGAAGCTTCAGCGTGTGCAAGGTACCATGAATTCTCTTCAGTACCAGGAGATATTGGATGGAAACGTGATGCAGTCCGTCACACACCTGAGGCTTGGGAGACGTTGGACCTTTCAACAGGACAATGGTGATCCCAAGCATACCTCCAAGTCCACTAGAGCATGGTTTGCAGTGGAAAGGCTGGAACATTTTGGAGTGGACGCAGTCACCAGCTTAAATCCGTATGAGAACCAGTCGGTGGGACTTAAAGAAAGCAGTTGCAGTTATCAAGTTCCCTAAGAATGTGATGAACTGGAGGCCTTTGCCCATGAAGAATGTGACAAGATGGACCCTTAGATCGCCATCGTTTGTGTCGGATAATTATAGTTTGTAGTTTTATTGGCTGTGACTGAAACGCTTTCCCGTGGAAATGGGCGTCGGAGATCATTGCAAGAGACACGTCAAGCTATCATCATCGGGTGTAAAAGCTGTTCTACTGTAATGAAGGATGCTGTACTAAGTACTAAGATTGAATGTCACTTGGGGGTTGGAATAAAACTGATAATGCTGTGAGCACAGAAAAGACATTTGTGGTTATTTCATTATAACTGTTATGTTATATTTGTCTGACCTACAGATGCCTCTTTAATGTAAATGTAAGCAAGATGGGAATGATCAAAAGTTCATGTCAAAACTGGCCAAAACACTACAATTTCAGTGGGGGTTGAATAATTTTGGACACAACTGTAGGTGGTAATGGAGTCATGGATGACACGGTTACATGGAGTCTGTATGTGGTAATGGAGTCATGGATGACGCGGTACATGGAGCCTGTAGGTGGTAATAGAGTCATGGATGACGCGGTACATGGAGCCTGTAGGTGGTAACAGAGTCATGGATGACACGTTACATGGAGCCTGTAGGTGGTAACAGAGTCATGGATGACACGGTACATGGAGTCTGTATGTGGTAATGGAGTCATGGATGACACGGTACATGGAGTCTGTATGTGGTAATGGAGTCATGGATGACACGGTACATGGAGCCTGTAGGTGGTAACAGAGTCATGGATGACACGGTACATGGAGTCTGTAGGTGGTAATAGAGTCATGGATGACACGGTACATGGAGTCTGTAGGTGGTAATAGAGTCATGGATGACACGGTACATGGAGCCTGTAGGTGGTAATGGAGTCATGGATGACACGGTACATGGAGTCTGTAGGTGGTAACGGAGTCATGGATGACACGGTACATGGAGCCTGTTGGTGGTAACGGAGTCATGGATGACACGGTACATGGAGCCTGTAGGTGGTAATAGAGTCATGGATGACGCGGTACATGGAGCCTGTAGGTGGTAATAGAGTCATAGATGACACGGTACATGGAGTCTGTAGGTGGTAATTGAGTCATGGATGACGCGGAACATGGAGCCTGTAGGTGGTAATAGAGTCATTGATGACACGGTACATGGAGTCTGTAGGTGGTAATAGAGTCATGGATGACACGGTACATGGAGTCTGTAGGTGGTAATAGAGTCATGGATGACACGGTACATGGAGCCTGTAGGTGGTAATAGAGTCATGGATGACACGGTACATGGAGTCTGTAGGTGGTAACCGAGCCATGGATGACACGGTACATGGAGCCTGTAGGTGGTAATAGAGTCATGGATGACGCGGTACATGGAGCCTGTAGGTGGTAACAGAGTCATGGATGACACGGTACATGGAGCCTGTAGGTGGTAACAGAGTCATGGATGACACGGCACATGGAGCCTGTAGGTGGTAATAGAGCCATGTGGACACTGTACATGGAGCCGGTGCATGGTGGTAATAGAGTCATGGATGACGCATGGATGACGCGGTACATGGAGCCTGTAGGTGGTAATAGAGTCATGGATGATGCGGTACATGGAGTCTCTAGGTGGTAATAGAGTCATAGATGACACGGTACATGGAGTCTGTAGGTGGTAATTGAGTCATGGATGACGCGGTACATGGAGCCTGTAGGTGGTAATAGAGTCATTGATGACACGGTACATGGAGTCTGTAGGTGGTAATAGAGTCATGGATGACACGGTACATGGAGTCTGTAGGTGGTAATAGAGTCATGGATGACACGGTACATGGAGTCTGTAGGTGGTAATAGAGTCATGGATGACACGGTACATGGAGCCTGTAGGTGGTAACAGAGTGATGGATGACACGGTACATGGAGTTTGTAGGTGGTAACAGAGTCATGGATGACACGGTACATGGAGCCTGTAGGTGGTAATAGAGTCATGGATGACGCGGTACATGGAGCCTGTAGGTGGTAACAGAGTCATGGATGACACGGTACATGGAGCCTGTAGGTGGTAAAAGAGTCATGGATGACACGGTACATGGAGCCTGTAGGTGGTAACAGAGTCATGGATGACACGGTACATGGAGCCTGTAGGTGGTAACAGAGTCATGGATGACACGGCACATGGAGCCTGTAGGTGGTAATAGAGTCCATGGATGACACGGTACATGGAGCCTGTAGGTGGTAATAGAGTCATGGATGACACGGTACATGGAGCCTGTAGGTGGTAATAGAGTCATGGATGACGCGGTACATGGAGCCTGTAGGTGGTAATAGAGTCATGGATGACGCGGTACATGGAGCCTGTAGGTGGTAATAAAGTCATGGATGACGCGGTACATGGAGTCTGTAGGTGGTAATAGAGTCATGGATGACACGGTACATGGAGCCTGTAGGTGGTAAATGGAGTCATGGATGACACGGTACATGGAGCCTGTAGGTGGTAACAGTGTCATGGATGACACGGTACATGGAGCCTGTAGGTGGTAATAAAGTCATGGATGACACGGTACATGGAGCCTGTAGGTGGTAATAAAGTCATGGATGACACGGTACATGGAGCCTGTAGGTGGTAATAAAAGTCATGGATGACACGGTACATGGAGCCTGTAGGTGGTAATAAAGTCATGGATGACACGGTACATGGAGCCATGTAGGTGGAGTCATGGTAGGACACGGTACATAGAGTCTGTATGGTAATGACATGGATGACACGGTACATGGAGTCTGTAGGTGGTAATAAGTCATGGATGACACGGTACATGGAGTCTGTAGGTGGTAAATAAAGTCATGGATGACACGGTACATGGAGCCTGTAGGTGGTAATAGAGTCATGGATGACACGGTACATGGAGCCTGTAGGTGGTAATGGAGTCATGGATGACACGGTACATGTAGACGTCTCGGGATTGCACACGGTCGGGTTAATAAAGATTTGTATTATTGAGCCTCTTCTGGATTTTCCTTTTGCTCTCTTCCTCCATGTTCAGCCAGGAAGTCGTTGTGACGATTATCTGCCTCGTCGGCTCGTTCAGCTTCCTTGTAATTGCAGCAATATAATGGCAGAGATAACACAGATATATATAGAATAGAATCACCACAAACCACATGACCCCGCACCTGAGAGACGTGGATTGGGTTTCCCCCGCCGGGGATTCTGGCACAATTCCCACACTCAGGTTCCCTCTGTCATCTCAGGGACCTCCTTCACATTGTGATGATGGGGTGAGGGATCCTGGGATATCAGGTATTGTTACCTGGGTGGGGGGGGAGGAGGGGATATTCACAATATTCAGGTCAGCATGGCCAGTTTCAATGTTTCAGGAAGAAGAAAAGAATCCAGGAAAGTCCCAGAGACGGCCATAGACAGCCATAGACGGCCAGAGACGCCCATAGAGACGGCCAGAGATGCCCATAGACGGCCATAGACGGCCAGAGACGCCCATAGACGGCCATAGACAGCCATAGACGGCCATAGACAGCCATAGACGGCCAGAGACGGCCATAGACAGCCAGAGATGCCCATAGACGGCCATAGACGGCCAGAGACGCCCATAGACGCCCATAGACGGCCATAGACAGCCAGAGACGCCCATAGACGGCCATAGACGGCCATAGACGGCCAGAGACGCCCATAGACGGCCATAGACGGCCAGAGACGGCCAGAGACGCCCATAGACGGCCATAGACGGCCATAGACGGCCATAGACAGCCAGA